TATTAGCAGCATCGTCAACTATTATACCTTGTTTTAAAGCTGAAAGATGGCGCTTTAATACTATTATATATGGTGGGAAAAAGATTTAAATATGGATAGATGTTGTAATCGATTAAATGTAGGGGTTGAGAATTAAGTTGTATACCTAATACTTTGATAGAAACTGGTAAAATTCTAAGGATTAGAAAGAAATGAAGAACAAGGAATCAAATATTATAGTCTTTGTAAAAACTGAAATTAAAAATTTATACAATAAAATGTATTGTATACACTATACAATGAAATGTATTGTATAAATTACACACGTTGCCTTTCAATGTGTATTCTTTATAAATGTTAGTTATTACAAAGAATGTTGTCAAGGCTTTGGTGATCGAACAGTTAGAGATATGGATTCAAATCTCGGTCGAGGTAATATTTTTCATAACAAGTTCTTTTTAAGATGCTAGTAGCATCAAATTAACGATTTGATTTTGAGGAATTATTAATGTTATTTCAAATTGATAGTGTTGAAAGTCCGAAAGTAATCGGCGCGCAATATTTTTGAGATAAAAATTTACTTAAAATACGTACCTATATGTGTAGGTAGGTACGATGTACCTATATGTATTAGTATATAACATCTAACTTTGACTGGGAATTAGCGCTTAAAATTTATATCTATTTTTTGTATAAAAATTAATATTACATTCACATTAAACAGTTCAATGAAAGAGAGAGGAGGGAAGGGGTGGATAGGGAGGGGGAGAGAGAGAGAGAAAGAGAGAGAGAGAGAGAGAGCTTGTCATTGACACTCCTAGGAAATGATGTAAGCTCTCCGTGGCGTTTATTTATTTATATAAAACTAGCGCGGCCTCTATAAATGTCTCTCGAAATGGCACCTACCCTATAACTTTTATTTAAACCATCCTTTTTTTTCTAAAATCGATATACACTTCGAGAGAAAAAGAGATTAATCTGCGACGTTTTATACGAACCTCACCCCACATATGTGGGTTTGGCCGCCCATATGTATAGTCTCAGCTATAGTTTCTCAACCTTCAAAAGTCTCCTCGGTGGCATATTGGATCTATCTGGATTCACCAAAATGATTGGAATCTTTCCGTATGTTATGTTACCTCGTTTACGTAACTTCAGAAATCACGAGGACAAAGAAAGAAGAGATTACATTCACGGATGCGGATTCGAAGATTTAAACTTAACTTATGGAAAACATCCTCGAAATGTAATGGAACTATATCGATTAGTTGTGTAAATAGAATTTTATATTTTAAGTTATCAAACGAATAACTTAGAATCCAATCATTTTTGGACAACAAAAATACATGTACGTATGACATGTATTTTTACTGGAGGAAAACAAATCATTTTTTCATATTGTTTTATTATAATTACAAATATCGGATAGAGTTCCGAAATGGTGAACCCCTCGATTTTATTGTCGCTTGATTACTGTATTTTGGTGTGCTGATTACGAATATGATAATGGAAATTGGTGACAGAGTCATTTTCAAGGTCAAATAAAAACTTAAAAAACGATCTTTCACATTTGTCATGCATTTCATGTGTATCCTTAAGCAGAGGGGGAAGTGGGGTGAAAATCGCTTCGCATGGAAGTGTGCGCCCTTAAAGAAGAGGAGGGAGATGGGGTGTAAGTGGTAACGCTTAACACGATTGCACGGCAAATTATCACAATTTTCCACGCGAAACGTGCGGAAAAATGTGAAAAAAATCGATTTTTTAATTTTTGACCCTGAAAATGACCTAGTTGCCAATTTTCATTATCATATTTGTAATCAGCACATCAAAATACAGTAATATGTCAAGCGACAAGAAAATCAGGGAGGTTCATCCTTTCAAAACTCCACCCCAAATACCTTTTCCTGGATATAAAAATTTTATCTGGTTTTATCTTAAAATTTTATATTTTTTCCTAGTTATTTCAACCATTATTGAGATCCAGAATCTCGATCCGGCACAACTCGCTAGCTCGCACGGTGTCTCGCGCTATGTTTTAGTATCGAGAGACACTACTGTGTTTCCAGATAGAATTATGTAATTAGAAATGGACTAAATGATATCGACTAATGATCCCGAGAAATCAATGAGAGATGACCTAGGAGTAAATTGATTTCATTTCCAATGAGAGAATTGAAAACGATGAATTTTCTGCTCTTTTTCTTTCTCTTTATTCGCTAGCTACAGGAGGAGCTATTTAAGCGTGGCTGACGTTAAACTATCGAGATGTAGCGCGATTTTTTCCATACCCCCGGAGTCGTTCGGCACGAGGGCAGTATTTCGGCCCGCGGTAGAATGAGACGTCACGTTTGGAAGCGATGACGTTGAGAAAGCGGTGTCTTCTGAATGGAAGCGAAACCTCGGGGATCAGTCAGCAGGCAAGGACGAGTAATTATAACGTTAGTATCTCAACTTCATTTTGTACATTAACCATGTGCATCATTACGTACACGTGCGTATATACGTGCGTGTATACGCCGCGTAGCGCTTATGATGTATACGCGCTCGAGATTATAATCCGACATGATCTATTTTGATCGTCATCATCATCATTGTCGTTGTCTTCGCCGTCAGGGGGATGCGAATTCAGAACGGCGAACGTGCGTCACGCTTACTCTTGTTCTTCTGTTGACACACTTCTGTTCTGTGTATGTGTGAGTGCGCGCGCGCACGCGTGTGTGGATCTCACAAAAAAATTCATTAACAAATTGCGGAAGGAACACTTGCGCACGATACCTGAACTTTTATACTTGACAGATAAATCAGACATGTCAACGATGTACGCGCGAGTTCCTTCCTCTGCTGGAACGTTCAGTCTTAATTTTCGATATGCCGCTGATAAATATCTCTGCCGATTGTGAAATTAATGATTTGAGATTTCGAATTATCCTACGTGATTGCAAAGGTAGATTGGATTTGGCTATTTAATCGAGAATCCTCTTCTGAGGGAAAACCTTTTCAGTATAGGGACCATTATTGCTCTGACATTTTCAACATATAAGAGATAAGTCGAATCACAAATTGGTTCGAAAAATATCCCTATAAAATCATGATCCACGATACACATTGAGTCGAATTATTTTTCGTGCTCGACAGAAGGAACCAATAAAACGTTAGGTTAATCGAAATTGGAACACAAAAATAAAAGAATTGAGAGAAACATTGCTTATATTTTACAGAGTAATCTAATTGATAAATTATCTCTCGCGTTCCGACACGACTGCTGTGCGCATCACGCAGAATCGTTTGAAAAGGCGCAATTAGGCTAAAAGTGTATAGTATTGCCAGTGATACCGCAAGGTTATTACAAGCGTAAACGCTGCGTAAAAGTAACTGCTGCACTGTAGCTAAATAATTATCACGAAAGTAGAATGGGCGTTTATACGTGCAAGTGAAATTACATTTATGTCGGCAATGTTATTGTTGACAGTTGGGACAAATGTATCGATCATGTGTACCATTCGAGTCGCGTCAATTTCGAAGTTGCCGAATTAATTAACAGTAATTCCGTGTTCCTCAAATGTACGCCTCAGTTGAAGTCAGAATGAAATATCGATTTTGACTCTTTGACGTACAACATTTTCGCGCGGTTTATAGGGGTCAGTTGAATATAGGGATAAGTAGAATAATCGAGGCTACATTAAAAACAAAACATGCAAGACATGCGTAAACGTGTTTGAGCACGCAGCAGGGACTGCCGCTAAAGTCTGCTGTAATATCTTGTTGCGAACACATGTGTGATAGAAATTTTGCTACAATTTTAAAAAATCGTACACCTAAGTAAATATTTTTATTCTTAAAGTTTTTGTTTTATAATCGTACATGATTGTCTGAGATATTTGATTTCTACTTTGATAGTAAGTATAGTTCTTAATAAAGTCCAACAGATTTTTTTTTTGGTTAGTCTTTGTTATCGTTTATTGTTAATATTTAAAAAAAACGAACAGATGGGAATAGTAGACTAACCACAGCATGGAATTATATGACTCATTCAGTGACGACTCTTATTGTACTTACTCAAAATTTTATTCCTTTAAAGAGATTTTTCTTAGTAGTAAATGTTATAAGTTTAGTTCTCTCATGTTCAATCTCGAAAACTAAGCTTATTCGACGTGTTTTTGTACGAAATGAACAAATTTTGCAAAAAAAAGTATTATTTTGCCCTGCGAATGTTTGCGTTGAAAATATATTTTTATAAAAGTTTTATTAATATGCAGCCAAAGATGTAGCTTAAAATATATTAGTCTTTATTTTCATAATCTTAGTCAAATTATCCCGGTTCCGGGGTTAGATGGAATGCATTAGAAAAATGCATTTTTTTTTTCATATTAATTGTCAGCTTCCCCTTATTATTAAAATATTAGGTAGTATTAGTAAAATATTAGTCAAATGTATATAGTAACTTGTGTAGAATTCATTTTTCCCTTAAGTCTCTTAATTTGTCCGTAAAAATTCGAAACTAAAAAATGAGTCTGTTAGCCCCGGTCTCCCCTACAAGAGTGCAAAGCCGAAAGTAATGCGAATGTGAGCCAGCGATTGTTTGTCAATAAAAATACAATTTGTATCGAAGCTTCGCTTTCCTTCGTATATTATAATAATAACGTAATAATTAACATTTCTACAGTTATATTTCTTCAAATGTCGTTTGTCATTCGCAAAAGATCGCGCTTGGGATTTTGAATAAGCATGTGATCATTACACATAAATTTATTTATTTCTTATACCATATAGCAAAGTGTCTGTACATATTACAAGATATTTTTGGTTTAAGCGAAATTGTATATCTTTTTGTTAGTGCCATTACACATACATAAATGTCAAACAAGACATATACATGTCAAAATGATGAATTTTGCGGGTACAAATTAGATAATTATTTATTATGTATTAATACTAATTATTATGTAATTAGAATGTAAAACAGAAACAAAATTTATTGTGTTAATAATTTAAGTAATATGTACAGAAGCAAAGTTAATATCTTTAAGAATTTATTTTGGTAATTATGCACTTTAAGGGATACTGCATCGATGACCTTAACATGTTGTTAAGATCATGATTCTGAATAACTTTGCCTTAACAACTAGGTGGCAATCTCTTATAGTTTCTGAGCTATTTAGAGTTAAAGGTCTAATTTGTGTAATAAATTTTTCGGTAATTATTAATATTAAGGGACACTGCGCCGATGATTTTGACATATGTGGACAAGATCATAATCTTGAGTGACCTCCAGCAGGTTTTAGGTGGCCGTCGCTGTTCGTTAAAAGGTTATTAACAAAAAAGTTTGAAAAATGAATTTTTTTTTGTTAATATATACAACACTTTTTAACGAATAACGAACGATGGCTAAAATCTATTGGAAGTCATTCAGAATCATAATCTTGACAACATATGTCAAGAACAAGATCATTGGCGCTCCCGTCTTCGACATATTTACCGAGTAGTTTTTAATACTATATGTAGCAGAAATAAACTGTCATTTCTAAAATTTTTTTTGTTAATAACTTGATTAAATATAACAGGGCAATAAGAGTCAAGCACGGGTAATTCTTATGCAATACGGTTAACAAAACAACTTTATTAATAATTAATCCGCTTACATGTTTCAGCTCACTTTTGAGCCATCCTCAGAAACAATACGATTTTATATTATAGTTTCCGTTAATAGGTGGAGTTGATTCACTCTGAAATGAATTAATTTCTAAAAAATTTTTTGTAATTACAACATCGTATTGTCTCTGAGGATGATCCAAAAGTGAGCCGAAACATGTAAGCGGATTAATTATTAATAAAGTGGTTTTGTTAACTGTATTGATTTGCACAAGAATTACCATGCTTGACTCCTAACGTTCTGTTATATACAATCATTTTGTATCATTAAGGAAGTCTTTAGGAATTAATTTATATTTGTCAATAACTTCTTAACGAAGGACGACCATTATCTAAAACCTTTTGGAGGTTACTTAGGGTCATGATCTTGACGACATATGTCAAAGTCATCAACGCGGTTAAAGTACATAATTACCTTTATTTTAAATGAAACTTGTGGATATACATATATAAAGATGAGGAATGTGCAAACACGTAATATTGATTTCCAGTTACTTAAACAATTCACAATTACACATTACGAAATATAAAATATGTGCATACATATATATATATATATATATATATATATATATATATGTCGAAAAAGAATTTAAAAATAGGTTATTGTGCCTAATATTGTACGTAATATGCAAGAAGGAAAGAATAAGTTTTTATATGTGCGAAGTTTTTCATATTGCAAAAAATCTACAAAATTCGTTCAAACATAATATATAAATTTAAAAATCTCCTATTTAATTTGTTTATACTATAAGAAATATCCACCTTCGAAAATTATATAGGAAGATACAATTTAAAAATATTTTTCAAGAGAATCTTTCAACTTGTGGGGATCTACATTAGGACCATGTCGCTCGACGACCTTGCCCTCTTTATTCACGATGAACTTGGTGAAGTTCCATTTTATGAAGTTACCCAGCAGGCCACCTTGCTCTTTCTTCAAATATGCCCAAAGAGGATGCGTGCTATTTCCGTTCACATCAATTTTCTCAAATAAATCGAATTTTACCTGCAGAAAATACATATATGAATATGGATTTATTCATTGAGGAAAGTAGGCGATTGTTTATAATACATTCAGGGAAAAAAACATTTTTTATAATGAGAACTGTATAGGTGATAACTATATAAGTTTTATATGTAGAATTTATGTACATTGAAGTTTTCATAATTATTCAGCTTTAGCTCATAAAATATTATAGTCACACAAACTCCCACACACACACACACACACACACACACACACACACACACACACACACACACACAATTCTGTACATTAATTTTATTAAAACTTGCACTTTTGTTACCTTTTATATTGCATATATGTTGTTATAATATTATAATATTATGTCTATGTTATTATAATATAATATTATGTCTTTTTCTCCAATGCTGAGTTGTTTCATCTTTTGATAAATCTCTCCCTCCCTCCCTCCTCTCTCTCTCGTTCTCTTTCTCTCTCTTCTCTCTTTTGTTTATCCATTACATAATTTATCTAAAGGTGAAACAACCAGCATTGAATATATGAACTTTATCGGCATTGCTTCTTACATAAGGTAATATACAGGATGCCCACAATTTTTGGCAAAGCGCTTTTGTATAGATAGAACCAACTAAACTGAATCAAAAAGCTCTACTATTTTGCAATTTTTGAAATGATTAATGAGATATTAATTTATGAAAATGCGGGACATCCTGTGCGCGCGCGCGCGCGCGCGTGTGTGTGTATGTACACATAATATTGCAATATAACAAATTTTATAGTTAGTCAAATTTTTTAGTCAAACGCTATTTTTTCACTCAAATATTTATGTTTGTAAAAGATTATAAATAAAGGGTAAAATTACTTTCTGGCGATCGGCAAAACTGCAAATCTCCTCGTTGTTCCCTGGCTCTTGACCATTGAATTGGTTACAAGGAAATGCTAGAATTCGTAATCCTGCAAAATAATGAAAAAAATCTACCTTATTACTATTTCTTCGTAATATAGCTTTCAATTTCCCTATAATGTGAGAATTTACCTTTAGATTCAGCATACTCGTCGTATAGTTCATTCAGTTCTTTGTAATTCGTTGCTGTGAGGCCGCATTTCGAAGCGACGTTTACGATCAAGCACACGTGATCTTTATATCTAAACCAATAAGAGATGATATTACATCTTTTCCATAATGTGACTTTACGCGACGCGGTCGGGTTTATGCTTACTTGGACAAAGGAACTTCCTCTCCCCTGATGGAGTTCACCGTGAAGTCGTAAATCGACGTAGCCGATTTGTAATCCTTGTTTCCGCTCATTGCTGCTACAACTACAATCGGCGGGAGCATTGAAAATTTTTAATGTAATAGACATCGCCTTACGAATGACAAATACTATTATTGTATTTTTTTTATTTTCACAATCTGTCAAATTATTTTCTACATATTAATTTATTTTCTACATCTACATTAGTCGTAAGTTGCGTTCATTGAAACAAGGATGTACAAAATAGTGTAGCGAAAACATTTCATGTTTAATTTTTCTTTGTGTAAACTAGTAAATAATTACATTGAAACAACTTTTACAGAAGGAAACGCTCGTTATTTTAAGAGAATTGAAATGTGATTTGTATTTATGTAAATAGATTAAAAAATGTGTCGATAAAATAATAATAATCATGCTTTTAAAATATTTTAGATGTTTAATTAATTTTGCTATATTTAAAACTCGCTTTCGCGCGCGCGATGCTAAGTTTTTTTTTCACGCTAAAGCATCACGAACATACAAATCGGCACAATGAAACGATATCCGATGAAATAAAATAGAATTTTATAATATTCTTAATTGCAGTATTAATCGAGATGTACTATATGAAATTAAGATGAAATATCGAGAGCAGCACACTTCAAGCTATTGCGAATTAAAGGTTACTGAAGCGACTGAATTGAATGAAATATTATAGAAAATCTTTCACAAATTCATCTCTCTCAAGTTCAAGTCTAGTAAGTTTTCCGAAAAAGATAGTTTTAATTAAATGTCTATTGTTAGCTGTAGGGGAAATGATGAGAGGAAGTGGGAAGAGCAATTATCAAAATACGTGCCTGCGAAATTTCGGGTTAAGTTCATGAATCCGACGGGTACGATGAATTTTATAATGTGCATTTCCGATGTGTCAGGGTTTCCCGCTCCTAAAACTGCCGATGCAGGAAAGGTGGAGGGAAAGGAATAGTATTACGAATTCAATCCCCCTTTAACAAAAAGAATTTGGGAACTTTATATCTCGCAATTTACAGTTTTCTCATAATTATTCAGTTCCTTCCTAAGGAACGGAACATACACCTACGAAAAAATTATAATTGAGAGAAATAGCACTTACGTGAATTTAATTATTAAATTATACATTATAAGAATATGAAGGTAGCGAAATTCACAAAAATTATCATTGATAGAAATGTTCCTTATTAAATTATATTATACGTTAAAAAATATTGTATAAAAATGGCAAAATTTACAAATAAAAATTCTAGCTTTAATGTTTCATATTTGAAATAGAGAACGGTTGATTGTTATTCTAAATACGTAAACATATACAAGAATGTTTACAAACTATGAGATTTTTTAATTATTTGTAAACATGTAATTGTAAAGATAAGAACAAAATGAAGAATTCGTATCTAGGATGTCCCGAAATTTGAAGACAATATTATTACAGCGTAAAACTTCGTGAAAAATTAAATAATGAAAGTGCATTTTATTCTGCAAAGTATTATAGTTTTTTAAGTATAAATGTTTAAAGTTTGATCAATCCTACAGTACATAGTGGCAATGTTTTGTTTTACGTCTTAAGTTAACGGAACAAAGTGAGCAGATCAATCCAAACTAATATTTTTATTTGTTGCTCATTTGTTGCTAAAAAGTTGTAACAAAGAAATAAATTTGCTCTGCAGATTCTTTCAAAAATGATGTTCCGTTAAAAGAAGATAAAATTAGCGGAACAATATACATATAACAAAGTCGATCTATGTAAAAATAACATAGAAATTTGTTGCTATTTTGTTGCTATCGAAATATCCTACTTTTGATTTCATTACCTATGAAATAAGTACAAATAACAACGAAAAACCTCAGCGTGCTAGCGAAACAAGAATAACATACCAAGAATAACGTAAAAAATGAGTTGCCCGCTTAAAATTGGAATTGAGATATCGTCTGAATTTGTTGCATGCTGAAGTATATCGTTGGTATTTATACTTATTTTGCAAGCACAAATTCATAACATTGCATATTTCGAGAGCAACAAATTCAGACGACATCTCAGTACCAATTTTAAGCGAGCAACATATGTTTTACCGATACTTTACTTTTGTTCCGCTAGCACGCTGAGATTTTTTTCGTAAATAAATTCCTACGTTATTTTTACATAAATCGACTTTGTTATATATGTATATTGTTCCACTAACTTAATCTTCCTATAGCAAAACATCATTTTTTAAGAAAACTTGCGGAGTAACAAATTTTTATTTCTTTGACAATTTTTTAACAATAAATGAGTAACAAATAAAAATATTAGTTTGGATTGATTCTGCTCATTTTGTTCCGCTAACTTATAAGACATGTTATTTTCTTCTTATAAAGTTCTAAGAATTTTTTCAGAATTCTTTCAGAATTTTTTAATACCGTATTTTCTCATGTTGGTAAAAAAAAAAGAAAACGCAGTAAAAGATTTGATAAAAAATTCTGAAAAAATTCTTGAACTTTATGAGAAGAAAATAAATGATTTTTGTCTCTTGCAGCTTTTCTATAAACTTGATAGTATTTGAGTAAAAAATTATTCAACACCAATATTTAGCAATTTTTAGTAATTAATATCTTGTTAACTATTGCGAAAATTGCAAAATGGTAGAGGATTTTTCGATTCAGTTTAGTCCTCTCTACCTGCCCATGAAATATTTGGCGATTATTTCCAGGTACCCTGTATATAAATTAATGAATTATACAAGGAAATTGATGGATTATTATTTATATTTTTGAGATATATTGGGTCATCTAAAAAGTATCCGCGATTTTTTGTCACTAGATGGTGCTGATGGTCAACACCATGTAGTGACAAAAAACTGCGGATACTTTTTAGATGACCCAATATTATAAAAAGATTTTCTTTTTGTGAAATTATATTTATTTATTAAGAATAAATTTCTTATTAAGAATAAATTTATTCTTTCATCCATCCCTAACAGTAATTTGGATATAATTATGAGTATCGACGTGCGTGTGCAGAATTCTTGAGTTCTTATAAGTATAGGAACTCTACGGAATTTTGCGATCGGTGCCATCTATCGTGTGCCAGGTCAACCTCGCGGAGATAATCGATCAGCGAATGCTCCTAGCGAAGAATCTACGCCTAACTTTACGCTTTATGTCTCGACGATATTTCTACGAGATTTTCCGACAATTCTCGAAATGCACTACAACGATCACTTCGCGTACCATTAAGACGGATCGGGTTATATCTCTTACCGCTGAAAAATGCAAAAACGAGCTTCAAATAAACGCCGAGGATGTCACACGAACCAATCACTAGGAATCGCTATTTTGTACTGGTCATCATGTCATGTCGGAGACGCGAACGGTTTTTAACGCGCATGTGCGTCAATGCGCAAGTACCTGGACATCAGTGATGGATCAAGGCATTTCGAAACCCTGGAATTTGACCAAATTCTGATTAACCTATGCTCATTTCTAGCATTGTAGATTTAAATTTTTATTAACTTTAATCTTGATTCAACTTATTCTTCTAATGCTTGTTTCTATCAATGTAGATTGACTTTAATTTTAATTCAATTTAGTTTTTATCTATTTCTAATTCTTAGAATTAGCGAAAAAAAATTAGAATAGGATGAAGAGTTAGAACTGAAATTGAACTGAAATTTAAATTAAATTATTTTGGTAGAAACGTGCATATACTCATTTTTATAACCAATGTAGTTTAATTTTAATCTTGGTTCAACTAATTCTTCATTCTTTTTCTAGTTCTAAGAATTAGAAAAAATTTAAAAAAGAATAAGTTAAATCGAGATTAAAATTAATCTGTTAGATGTACAATTTAATTTTCGGCCTTTTTAACACAAATGTTAATGTTTCTTTTTTTTTCTTCTTCTTACATTAGACCTGCGACCTATTATATTCTTATATGCTTGTGGTGCGTTGGTTATTCAATAATTGTTACAAGCATATGGGATCTACAATTTTTGTTGTTGTCCAGGGTATTCATCATCTTAGAGACTGAAATTGCCATCTCGAAACTTTTGAAATCACTTTTTACACGTACCATAAGACAGAGCATTTTCATCTAAGGCAAATCATTTTCTTAGCCTCGCCGGCATTTTTCTTCAGTTGAAATGTGAAAAAGAGGTAGTGTTTCAAATGCTGCTTTTCGAATGACATTGCTTTCACTACTGTATTTTGATATTACGAGTATATTAGCAGCATCGTCAACTATTATACCTTGTTTTAAAGCTGAAAGATGGCGCTTTAATACTATTATATATGGTGGGAAAAAGATTTAAATATGGATAGATGTTGTAATCGATTAAATGTAGGAGTTGAGAATTAAGTTGTATACCTAATACTTTGATAGAAACTGGTAAAATTCTAAGGATTAGGAAGAAATGAAGAATAAGACGAAAGGAATCAAATATTATAGTCTTTGTAAAAACTGAAATTAAAAATTTATACAATAAAATGTATTGTATAAATTACACGTTGCCTTTTAATGCGTATTCTTTATAAATGTTAGTTATTACAAAGAATGTTGTCAAGGCTTGGTGATCGAACAGTTACAGATACGGATTCAAATCTCAGTCGAGGTAATATTTTTCATAACAAGTTCTTTTTAAGATGCTAGTAGCATCTTAAAAATTAACGATCTGATTTTGAGAAATTATTAATGTTATTTCAAATTGAAAGACCGAAAGTAATCGGCGCGCAATCATATTTTTGAGGTAAAAATTTACTTAAAATACGTACCTATGTGTATAGATAGATACGACGTACCTATTCGTATTAGTATCTAACGCTAATTCCCCGTCAAAGTTAGATGTTAGATACTAACATCTAACTTTGACGGAGAATTAGCGCTTCTCGTATTGTGGTGATGAAAATTTATATCTATTTTCTGTATAAAAATTAATATTACATTCACATTAAACAGTTCAATGAAAGAGAGAGGTGGGAAGGGGTGGGTAGGGAGGGAGGGAGGCAGGGAGAGAGAGAGAGAGTCAGAGAGAGAGAGTGAGTGAGAGAGTATGAGAGAGAGAAAAGAGATCAATATTTATATTTAATAATAGAATTTTATAGTTTAAATTAAAATTTTAGCTCTATAAAGCTAGCAGGATCAAATCAACAGAATCAAATTGGACCTATCGGAATTTTTAATATAGAGCCGAAATACTTTTCCGACCAGTCACGATTGCGATTTCTATGTTTTCCTCTGCTTATCTCACGTCTATGTTATGTTTCTTTACATCTCGTTCTCTGCCATAGCCCTTAATTTAAGCTGGCAAGTTCATAAAAAAAAAAACAACACAGGGGCAAAATTAACACAACTGAATTTGTATTAATCTGTATCATTGAAAATAAGTTAATATTTTACATGTTTTCTCCTTAAAATGACTTTATTAGTATATACTTACAATCTATGAGGCATTCATCGTCAAACCGAGCACTTTTGAAACATTGTCATTTCATTTTTTTTTTACTTTACTAACATATTCTACAGATAAAAATATAAGACACGTGTTTCGCGCGAAAAAAATTTGAGATTTTTTTATGAAGTTATTCACACTTGTAGAAATGTATAAGAAAAACATCGCTCATGCAAACATTCAAATTATTATATCGTCGAAAATTATTAATCGTACAAAAAAATGCAAGAGATTGATTTTAAAGATCTTAAATTGTTATATGGATGAGTTATTTTTAATTTATTATTTTCATAAAAATGAATCATTTTCCATTTGTTTACAATTTTTATCAACATTTTTCATCGTCAACTCAATTTAAAAATTTTGTAAAAATATCATCATATTCCAATTTCAATTATGAAGTAATCCTGAAAATTGCAAAATGAAACTCGAATTTTTTAACTATACTACAGAGAGAGTTGATAATTTTTTAATTATTCTACAGTTAACTATACACAGTTCATTCGAGTTCCATTTTGAAATGTTCAGGGTTATTTTATGATCGAAATGGGAATATGATGATATTTTTTAAATTGGTGAGTTGATAATGAAAAATGTTGATAACATTTGTAAACAAAATTGGAAAATGATTTATTTATATAAAAATGATAAATTAAAAATAATTCATCCATAGAACAATTTAAGGTTTTTTTAAATTGATCTGTTGCATTTTTTTTGCATGACTAATAGTTTCGATAATATAATAATTTGAATTTTTGCATGAGTGACGTTTCTTGTGAATTTACACAAACGTGAACAATTGCACAAAAATCTCAAATTTTTTCCACGAAACATGTGTCTCATATTTTTATCTGTAGAATATGTTAGCAAATTAAAAAAAAATAAAATGATGATGTTTCAAAAGTGTCCGATTTGACGTGAAATGCCTCATAGATTGTAAGTATAATAAAGTCATTTTAAGGAGAAAACGTATAAAATTAACTTTCAATGGTACAAATTCAGTTATATTAATTTTTGCTCTTGTTTTTTTTTGCTCTTGTATGATCCTGTCAGTTTAAATATTAAATTAGCAGCGCCACTGATTTCTTGGAAATGACATAATATAGAATTGTTTTTGGTAGTACACAAAATGGTACAAATTCAATCCTATTGATTTTAGAAATTATTATTTTTTTTTTTTTTTATTTTGAATTGGTCCTATCAGCTTAATATTAAGCTAGCACCGCCACAATTTTTTTCGAAATGGCGCACAGTACAAAATTATCATTAATGGTACAATTTAGTATCAAATGAGTACTAAAAATTCTGATAAGTCCAATTTGATTCTGATTTAGTCTTGCTAGCTTTATTCAGTTGAAAGTTTTTCATTTTATTTTAATTATTTTTTTAAAAACATGTCTGCTTCTTATTAAAATAATGTTTAATTTAAATTTTAAATCTTCGTCAAACTTTTTATATTAGGGTAAGTGGGGGGAATACTTAAGCGAAATTATATTTTTGAACAATTATTTGTCCAATTTAAAGTAATTTTTATACACTGATCTTCTTCCATCCTTTATCTATTATTTGTGTATGATTGCAATCAAATATTTTTATTTTTTGTTATTAAAAATAAAGAAATATGAAAAGTGTTAAAACATAGGTAATATGCCAACATGGATATACGCCACATACAAAAAAAATGTTATAACATTATATTGATTTATTTATCGCAAAAAAACATTATGAATGATTTTTAAGACAAAAATAAACATTTGTAAGATAAGAAATAGAAACCGAGTTAATGTAATAACATAATATAGTAGAGAGTACCTTAGCATCGATCAAAGTTATATATTTCAAATAATATAATATTCTTGATTCGTAAATTTAATTAATCTCAAATGTAACTGTGCGCCGAAGCGTTCGGACATTAAAATACAATCAATCTGAGATGCTAATAATCGTGAGCCAAAACGGACAATCGCGAATATATATAATTCCTCCTCCCCCCTTAATTCAAATAAAAAACTTTTATTGCGAAAAGTATTATCTCAGCCAGGATTCGAATCTGAGACCTCTCGACTTTTCGGGGCGAGTGTCTTAGTCATTTGTAAAATAATAACTTCGATTATGTAACATAAACCTTGTAACGTAGCAACGTTTCTTAACTTGAATAAATTAAATTACTTAATATTTAGAAGCATTCCAGATATTCATTTTATTTTCAGAAATCTGATTAAGCTTCTGTTAATGAAACTCTAACTGACTCTAAGAAGCTCGATCAGTCTTTCTTATTTTCCATTCGAAGCATTCTTATCTGAACGTGTAAAAGTATGTAATGTATAAGTATGAAATATATGAATATATATTTGTATTACTCTTTGTTTATGTTTACATATTGTTACAAGTAATTTAAATTCCCAGTAATCGAAAATGGATTAAAATGGATTAAAGAATTACATTTCTTATTCAGAATTTTGAATTGAGCAGTAAATTAATATATAATAATAAGCAAATAGATAAATGTTTAGGTTTTTTTTTATTAATTATTCGTCAACGGATATCTTATCACAATGGGATTATGCGGGGGGCGTAACGTTTGTTTATAGCGCCTTAATCTATATTGGAGAAAATGACAATACTGGCATTTTACTCTAACAAAAGTAGTGGCATATTGCTCCATTTTATTTTATGATGGGCCTGTTAAGAAAATGAATCAACGACGTACTGAATATTTTCATTTCAACCTATATTAATAAGTTAACAAGCTAATCAAACTAAATATTGTGTAACGCTTAAATAATAAACTTACATAATGAACATAAAGCACTATGAAAGTTATAAGGAGCACGTACTTGTTCATGTACTACACTGTCATATTTACCTTAAAAACAATATTATTATCAGGAAATTGTTAATGTTTATGCA